GTTGTCATAACTTATAGTCTAATTCTTGATGCATATAAGAGTTCTTTAACTTCTAAGTTGGTACAAGCTTTGATTTATGCTTAAGATTGGTAATGAGATCCATCACATTCAGATTTAGATTTTGAGGAAGAAATCAAGGCACTAGGGAAAGTTGATTTAGGTAATATTTTAAATGTATATATTATGTAATCTTTCTTTTTTTAAGTTAATATTTCTTAATTTTCTTTTATTTTTTTATCTTTACTTTATGTTACTTTTGTTTATGATTTTGTAGATCTTTAAAGAATTTCTTTGGTGTCAGTTATTGATTGATAACAATGACATAGAAAAGGGATTGTCTTTAGAAATGAGAATATGTTCTGTTTAGTGTCAATTTGTTAGTACTTGTTAATATTTGACGGTTGATTTAATAATTTACATGTTAATATTTGTAGTAGTATGTTGCTAGCATGTTGCTTGTTGCAACTTGGATAGTTGGATGGATCTTGCCATCTTGGAACTATTAATTTGTTGTCTGGTGACTGGTGATTTCAGACTTTTAGTTGTACTTGAGCTTTTGTTTTGTTCGTTATAAAATTATAAAGTTATAATGCATACTTTTTATTTGATAATTTCACAATAAAACTTATTAAATAAATTTTAAAAAATAAAAAAAAAGTTAAAAAAATTGGTTAAATCAATTAAAACCAATTTAGCCAACCTAAATTTGGTTAGTTTGGTTAATATTTTAAGAGAAGTCGATTAAGTCGGTTGATTGCATTTATTGACCAAATTAATTGATTACTTACCCCTAGTACAACTTCTTTCTTACTCATACGTTCAATTTTTTATCACTTAATTATTTAACTTTTCATTGAAAATGTAAAAAAGGGAAGAAGTAGAAACTAGTTCTTACATTTTTTATTTTTGATGTTTTTAATTTTTCATTCATTAAAAGTAAGAAAGATACATTACCCTTCTTTTTTTTTTTTGTTATTTTGTCTCATAGTGTATTTAGTTAGAAGGGAAGGAATAAAATGTGAGGAGAAGAAAAAGGGTAAGAGAGGAAGAAAAGTAGCAAAGCTATTTCTCTTTCATTGTGATCAGTATAAGAGATAGGAGAACATGGGGGAAAATAAAAAATAAATTATTTATTTAAATTGGTTAATGTTTTTCTAACTTTTACAAAAAAATTTAGAAAACCATAAAAAGTATAAACTCATTCATGTTGCTATGCTATGGTTTTCACATTAGTGAAAAATATGATGAGTTGAGTTTATAAGTAAGAACTTTCTTCTACTTAATGGTATTTATTTGGATTGAAAATGTA